AAAATGGGTGGGAAAAGAACCAAAGAATCGATGTCCAGTCGTTGGAAATTACTTAGTCAATCGTTTAGTACGTGGAGAGATGTTTTGGCACAAACTAGTGATAATCTTCGAAGTGGGGAAAATTTATCGGATCATGTAACAATATATTATTTATTTGTTAGCTACTTTGATTATAATTATTTGTTTGTATAATTTATTTGTTACCTACTTTCATTATAATTATTTGTTTGTATTATTTATTTGTTACCTACTTTCATTTTAATTACTTCTTCTCCCGCATTGTGCAGGAACTTCAAGCACAAGCTTGGTATAATGCCAAAACCAAAAGCAAAAACAAATCATTCAACCGGTGGGAATGTTGGAATATTGTCAAAAATTGTCCTAAATTCAGAGTTGTGTTTGTTGGTCCAGAAGTTTTCATGAACAACACCCCTCTACACTCTACACTCGATCATACCTCGCATGTTCATGAAGATGACGTAGAAGAAGTGCCCGAAACGTCCCCTCAAAACAAGCGTCAGGGTCGGACCGTTATCCAATTAGGCCTCAAGGTAAGAAGGTTTCAAAGAGAAAAGGGAGTGCTTCCAAGAATGATTATTCAAAGTATATGGAAGAACTTGCTTGCCAAGGTGAATTGACTTTGGCGTGGGCAATGGCAAAATTTAAGGCTGATAAGGCTAGAGAGAAGGCAAAAGCTGCAGCTATTGAGAGAGAATTTCAAGTTAATGAGAGAGAAATAGAGCTACTTTGGTAAGAAATGGAAGAGGTTAGAGAAGAAAGAATGGCTCAACGAGATCGTGAAATTATGAACACGCCTTTAGAAGGAAAGTCTCCAAATTTTAAATATTTTTGGAAGTTGGAGAAAGCGGACGCGGTGCGAATGAGGCATGCAAGAGAAGCGAGAGCAATAGGAGATGGTCCTAGCACGACAAGAGAAGATCATCCTAGCACCACAAATTGGTTAAGTGATGATGAATAGAGTATTTTTTGTAATCAGAGCCCATAATTTTCCAATCACTTTGGATTGTAATTTCTTATTTATTGAATTGAGTACTTTATGTTGTTTCCAATTTATTGATATTAGTACTTTATTTAAACCAAAATTATATTTATTTAATTTGGTAATTTATTTATACTAAGAGAATCTGTATTCAAAAGACATTTAAACACACCAAATAAAATTACATAAACATACCAAATAATAATAAATAAAACTCACTAAATGAACTAAAAAAAACACACCACATAAAATTAAATAAAAAGAAACACTAAATGAACTTAAGTATCTTCAACTTGTTTCAATTCCCACTGGTGCTCTATCAAGTCAATTTGCCGAGCATTGTGCATATATGGCATTTGAAGTGCAGTATATCGTTGAATGAGCCTATCATTGTAATGTACATCCCTTTCTAATGGCTCGTGTTGCACAAGTTCTTCAGTGACATCATGAGCACAATATATTTGTGTTCGGGAATTGTTTATCGTGTCTGGCTCATATTCATCAATGGCATCATAATAGTACTCATCTTCCACAATCATGTTGTGAAGAATGATGCACGTCATCATGATGGATCGAAGCGACTCTACATCAAACATTCTTGTAGCACCCCTAACAATCGCCCAGCGAGCTTGGAGGATGCCAAAACAAGGCTCCACATCCTTCTTGCACCCCTCTTGACAGCTTGCAAAGTGTTTTTCCTTTGCACTTCACGGACGTGGCACTATTTTGACAAACGATGACCACCTTGGGTAAATGCCGTCTGCTAGGTAGTATGCCCTGTTGTACTTATGTCCGTTGACCCAGCATGTGACTTTTGGTGCCTTTCTTTGCAAAACATTGTTGAACAATGGGGATTGGGCAAAGACATTGAGGTCATTTTGAGCTCTCGGAACCCCGAAAAAGGCGTGCCAAATCCATGAACCAAAAGATGTCACCGTCTCCAAAATGGTACGTTTTGATCATTTTTTATCCCCATAAGCGTCTTGCCAAGCACTTGGACAATTTTTTAAGGTCTAGTGCATACAATCAATGCTTCCAATCATCCTAGAAAAACCTCGCATCTCGCCCTTCTTCAGAAGCCTTTGCAAGTCCATCTCAGTAAGTCTCCAGAGGTATTCTGCAGTGTAGATAGATTTGATTGCTCCGCAAAACCTCATCAAGGATTCAAGAATGGTTGATTTCCCCATCCTCGATATCCCGTCCACTTGGTCTGCAAATGCTCCATATGTAAGCATTCGCAAGGCAGTAGTAATTTTTTGCTCAGGCAAGAAACCCATAGCACCAAAAGCATATTTCCTTTGCATAAAGTAAGAATCATGGTTGCAAACAATGCATATGATTTGTTGAACAAATGTCGTTCCATTCTAAAACAACGTCTAAAGTACGTATCAGGGAATGCACTGTTACAGACAATAATCGTCCAAGAGATCCATACCTCGTCGTTGCCTGCTTATATCAAGGTTTGCGGAATGGTTGGGCCTGCAGATCTAAGCCACAGCTTGGATGACTCAACGAGAATGTGAGGTTTTGGCCATTCTTGCTTCATCATCTCTTCTTGTACACTTCTCATCATCTTCTATCTTATTTTGGGCCACTTGGAGATTGAACATTCCTTCTTATTGGTTAAACAATTATTCCTCTTACTGATCAATTTCCCACATCATCCTTGAAGAAGAAGACATTGTAAGAAGAAAGTAGAAACTATGAATAATGATACATATTTTGATTTTGGTGAAGAAGGAAACAGAAACTATGAATAATGATAGAGATCTTGAGAAAATTGATGTGAGATTTCTGAGGATGGAAGGTGGACTATATGGAAGATTCAGAAAGGATTAGGTTGTAGATAATGCCACGTGGCATGCCGTCATTCATTAAAAATCTGACCGAAATATATCCTTAATGATTGTAAACAGATTGTGACACGTGCCGTGACATGATTGGTTAAAAATCTTATCGGAAATCTATCGTCAACTATTCTGAAAAGATAACGACACATGGCACGATGGCATTAGATAAAAATCTTATCAAAATCCATCACCAATAATTGTCATGTCACATCCTAGCCCGGGCCCCTACCACATCCCGGGCTCGGCTCTATCGTAGCACGATATTGTCCGCTTTGGGCCCCGACCACGCCCTCATGGTTTTGTTTCTAGGAACTCACATGAGAACTTCCCAGTGGGTCACCCATTATGGGATTGCTCTCCCGCGAACTTGCTTAACTTCGGAGTTCCGATGGAACTCGAAGTCAGTGAGCTCCCAAAATGCCTCATGCTATATAAAGGTGAGAATATGCATATAAGGCTTACATGATCCACTCCTCTAAGCGATGTGGGATGTTACAACCACCCCCCTTAGGGGCCTGACGTCCTCGTCGACACACATCTGGGCAGGGATTGGCTCTGATACCAAATTGTCACATCCCGGCCTAGGCCCCCACCACATCCTGGGCTCGACTCCATCATAGCACGATATTGTTCGCTTTGGGCTCCGACCACCAATGGCGAAGCTACAGAGGGACTGGGATTGGCGGCCGCCCTTTCCCTCGTCGAAAATTAAGCCTATGAACGTGGTTCCGCCCCTCTAGTCTCCTCGAAATGAATGGAGTACCTGCATTGTAGTTTGCAGATGGTTTCTGCCTTTCTAGGTTTCTGCTGCTGTGCGAATCAGCTTGTGTAATTTTTTTTTTAAATCCCTTAAATGAAACGGCATCGTTTCATTTAGTATTGAAAAAAAACTCCTTAAATAAACAAACGACGCCGTCGCCATCGTTAATTGCTTAAAAAGATAGAAAACTTTAAAGGGGACCACTATCCCTGACTCCCCGTGCCTTCCATTTTTCAAAGCAGACCTTCACTTTTTCAAACGTAATCCCCTTTTAACCAATCACAAGATTCGTGCCCCCCCCCCCCCGAATCCCAATAGCTTTCAGCCTTTCACATTTCAGGCACTCTCCTCCCTCCGTTCTGTTGTCCCTTATATCTCCATCAAGCCGAGCCAGCCTCCAACATAGTAGCCAACCTGTTGGCTGTTGGATTGGTTTTCCACTTCTCTCTCAATTTTAGGTAAATTTTTTAACTTTCTAATTTATATTATCCCTAACCCTAATTGATTAATTAATACAAAATTTTAGTTAATTAATATAGAATCATAGAGTAATACACTAATATAGTTATTGATTTTTGATTTTTGCATATAAATATGAATCCTATGAAAGCTTATTGATGAATGAAATTATTGTCTAGAGTAAAAATTGAATTCTTGATTATTGATATTAATTTATTAATTGAATTTTTGTGTATTGAATAATTTATATGAATATTGGTATTGATTAATTGTTGGTTTAATTTGTTAGTACTCATATTGACTATAGTATAGTAGCTTACTCTAGAATTAAGAGTCAAAGACTGTTTTTTTCTTTTCCATATACAGTTAAACAATGGAACGATACTATAAGAAACAGTGCTAAAATCCTCCTTCAAATATATCGGGTGGTCCTTCTTCGAATATTCCGAGTAGTCCTCCTTCGAATATTCCAAATATTCCTTCTTCGAGTATTCCGGGTAGTTCCCAACAAAGTGAGGTCACTGAGTTGGATGAAATACTAGCTAATCTTCCTGTAGACCCTGGACATAGACGTCGAATGCTTGATTATCCACCTAATTATCATGAAGCAATTCGCCGACATTATCTCCAAAATAATCCTTGTCAACCTAAAGATCACATCATGCCGAGAAAAGTTAGCAACAATCGATGTTTTGTCACCCGTTGATTTGATAAATTTAAGTGGTTGGAGTATAGTATAGTAAAAGATGCCGCATTTTGCCGTTATTGCTATCTATTCAAGTGTGATTTTGATAAAGAGGGAAATGCTGGAAGTGATGTCTTCATTGAGATTGGGTTTACAAATTGGAGGAAATGACTCGAAAATTTTCGAGATCATAACCGAGGTGTTGGAAGTCTTCGTAATAAAGCTTTACAACAAGCTGGAGATTTGATGACACAAAAGCAACATATTGAAACATTTGTGATTAAGCAAACCGATGAAGCTCGCATTAATTATCACACTTTATTGCGTGGTGCACTTGATTGCACAAGATGGTTGTTGCAACAAGGTTTGCCTTTTCGTGGCCATGATGAATCGTTCAACTCAAGCAATAGAGGTAATTATTTGGAGCTTATGCAATTTCTGGCCGATGATAATGAGAAAGTTAGGAAAGTTGTGTTTGAGAATCTCAAGTATACTTCTTCCGATATTCAAAAGGATCTTGTTCATGCTTGTGTTATTGAAATTATTAATGCAATCACTAAAGATATGGAAGGTACATTTTTTTTCTCTCTTGGCTAATGGATCACGAGATGCTTCGACTAAAGAGCAAATGACAGTGGTATTGTGTTACGTGATAAAAAAAGGAGAAGCAATTGAAAAGTTTTTTGGTGTTCAACATGTCTCCTCTACAACTAATAGCTTACTTGAAGAGGCCATTGAAAGATTGTTTGCTACAACAAATTTGAGTATGTCCATGTTACGAGGACAAGACTATGATGGAGCTAGTAATATGAAAGGTGAGTTAAATGGTCTTAAAACAAAGATTTTGAACAAATACCCTCATACATTTTACATTCATTGTTTTGCATACCAACTCCAACTAGCTCTTGTATTTGTGGCAAAGGAAAATGAGGATGTTGCCAATTTCTTTATCAATGCTAGTAGTTTGGTGAATCTTATTGGACTATCGTGTAAGTGTCGTGATGCATTTAGAGAGAAACAACAAGAAAAAATTCAGAAAGCTCTTGATCTTGGTAATCTTGAAAAGGGTAAAGGGTTAAATCAAGAAAGTAGTCTCATGCGTCCATGTGATACACGGTGGAATTCGCATTATGGTACTATAGTTAGTATTATTGTTATGTTTGAAGCCGTGGTGGAAGTGGTTGAATGGATTAAAGGTGATCGCAACCAAGATAATCTCGGTGACGCAACTAGGTTATTCAAAGACATACAAACTTTTGATTTTATGTTTCACCTTTTCTTGATGAGACTTATATTGAGAATTACAAATGAGTTATCACAAGCATTGCAAAAGAAAGATCAAGATATTGTGAATGCGATGGTATTAGTGGAAGTATGCAAGCAAAGACTACAATCCTTGAGAGATGATGACTTTGGGGACTTGTTTCATGATGTAGAAAAGCTTTGTGAGGAGCATGATATTATCATTCCTAACATGGAGGATTTGCATTTCGTACCTGGAAAATCAAGGCGCAAAGCTCCAAAAATCACAAACTTCCATTACTATCGTGTGGACCTTTATTTTCAAGTCCTTGATATGCAACTAAAGGAATTGAATGATCGCTTCAATGAGGTAAACATCGAGTTCCTTCTTTGTATGACATGTTTGAGTCCGGTGAATAATTTTGCATCTTTTGACAAAGCAAAAATTGTTCGTTTGACCCAACTTTATCCTCAAGATTTTGATCGTATGGATCTCATGAATCTTCCAATTCAACTTGACAATTACATTCATGATATGAAGATGCATAGTGAGTTTTCATCATTGAGAGGAATTAGTGATCTTGCAAAAGAGTTAGTGAAGACCGGGAGGTGTGAAACTATATGTTAATGTATAAGCTTCTTACATTGGCTTTGATTAGGCCTGGCAAACGAGTTATGTCTGTTGTGTTCGTGTTATTTTCTTGTAACACCTGTTATCTTAACGGGTCGTGTCGTGTCACACCCGTTATCTTAACGGGTCCTTAACAGGACGAGTAAAGTGACCCAACCCATTATGACCGTTAAGAAAAATATTTTTTTTTCTTAAATTTGCACATACCACACATTGCCACATAAATATTACTTCAAAACATTAAAACACATTTGTCATTTAAGTACTACATTTACACTCGAAAATAAGTGCCTAATAAAAAAATAATACATACACTACTAATTTACAAATATTAAATGTGCAAGGATATGCAAAATGAAAAAGTTTTTGTTTTCAAGGTTGTGATGTCTTTCTCAAAAGTTTAAACCTCAATTTACAAAATCATCAATTTACATCGATCATCATGAAATTGTATTGGAACTTTGGCTTGATCTCAGCCGATCCAATGGTCATCAACTTTTTAAATTTCATTTAATATATATATAATTATATTGTATAATTATTATAGTTTTTAGGGGTATAAAATTGTTAAATTAATATATATTATATAATTATTATAGTTTATTCATACTTTTATTAAGTATAACATAAGATTTTGTGATATCCACTAGTGTAAATATTTTAAATTGAAGATCGAATTCATTCTTTTTATTCATATAGGGTCAAGGAGTGTAGCTGTAAAAAATCATCAAAATCGGAGTTAAAATAACTGTTAAATCATGATTTTTCGTTTTATAACCGTCGAAAAGTTTTGTCTCGTTACTTGATCTCTGAATGTTTGTTTTTTTACAATTTTTGGCGTATGGGATCTCGAAGTATATACAAACATGTTTGACTGTTGGATCGTTGAAACTAGTTTCGTAGAATGCGTGTATCTCATCAAAACAATAGATTTACTAACACTTAAAAGTTTATTCATACTTTCATTAAGTATAACATAAGATTTTTTTTTATCCACTAGTGTAAATATTTTAATTGAAGATCGAATTCAATCATTGTATTCATATAGGGTCAAGGAGTGTAGCTGCAAAAAATCATCAAAATCGGAGTTAAAATGATCGTTAAATCGGGATTTTTCTTTTTATAACCGTCGAAAAGTTTTGTCCCGTTCCTTGACCTCTGAATGTTTGTTTTTTACAATTTTTGGCGTATGCGATCTCGAAGTATATACAAACATTTTTTACAGTTGGATCATTGAAACTAATTTCGTAGAATGAGCATCCCATCAAAATAATAGATTCACTAATACTTAAGAGTTTATTCATACTTTCATCAAGTATAACACAAGATTTTGTGGTATCCACTAGTGTAAATATTTTAAATTGAAGATTGAATTTATTCATTGTATTCATATAGGGTCAAGGAGTGTAGCTGTAAAAAATCATCAAAATCGGAGTTAAAATAACCGTTAAATCGTGATTTTTCGTTTATAACCGTCGAAAAGTTTTATCCCATTACTTTATCTCTGAATGTTTTTTTTTTTTGCAATTTTTGGCGTATGCGATCTCGAAGTATATACAAACATGTTTGACGGTTGGATCATTGAAACTAGTTTCGTAGAATGAGTATCCCATCAAAACAATAGATTAACTAATACTTACGAATTTATTTGTACTTTCATTAAGTATAACATAAAATTTTGTGGTATTCACTAGTGTAAATATTTTAAATTGAAGATCGAATTCATTCATTGTATTCATATAGGGTCAAAGAGTGTAGCTATAAAAAAATCATCAAAATCAGAGTTAAAATAACCGTTAAATAGTGATTTTTCGTTTATAACCGTCGAAAAGTTTTGTCTCGTTACTTTATCTCTGAATGTTTGTTTTTTGCAATTTTTGGTGTTTGCGATCTCGAAGTATATACGAACATGTTTGACGGTTGGATCATTGAAACTAGTTTCGTAGAATGAGTATCCTATCAAAACAATAGATTCACTAATACTTAAGAGTTTATTCATACTTTCATTAAGGATAACATAAGATTTTGTGGTATCCACTAGTGTTAATATTTTAAATTGAAGATTGAATTTATTCATTGTATTCATATAGGATTAAGAACTGTAGCTATAAAAAATAATCAAAATCGGAGTTAAAATAACCGTTAAATTGTAATTTTTTGTTTTATAACCATTGAAACGTTTTGGTCGGTTACTTGATCTATGAATGTTTGTTTTTTGCAATTTTTTGCTGATACGATCTCGAAGCATATACAAACAAGTTTGACGGTTGGATCTTTGAAATTAGTTTTGTATATTTCGTATCCCATCAAGTTCAATGGTGTGTGTGTGTGTGTGTATATATATATATATATATTAAGTAGATTTAAATCTATTTATTTTGTACGTATAATTGACCGGTACACGGAGTAGTACATCCCGTGTCATTATAAAAATAATGGGATATGTCATATGTGTGATAAAAAGTTAATAACTTAAAAAAAAAAAAATTTCTCACCACTTTTATTAATTTTCATTTTCCCTCTTTTTTTTTGTTTCCTTTTCAGCTTTTCTTATAATTTTCATTTTTCCCTTCCTTTTTTTTCTTCAAAGGGCAGCAGCCTACCCATCTTTCCCTCTCGTTTTTTGTTTCCTTTTCAGCTTTTCTTATAATTTTCATTTTCCCTCCCTTTTTCTTCAAAGGGTGCGGCAAGAATGGAATTGAATTATGGAATCAATGGATGCATATTAATTAATAATTATTATGGTTTTTATAAAATTTAATTTAAAATATAATATATATATATATATATATAATATTATAATAGTTAATATTTTGGGGGTATAATTATTATAGTTAATATATATATATATATATTATAGTTTTTAGGGGTATAAAATTGTTAAATTAATATATATATATATATAATTATTATAGTATTTTTTTAGGGTTATAAAATTATAAAATTAATATTCGGCTTATCGTGTATCGTGTTACTCACGTGTATACCCGAATCAACCCGTTATCTTAACAGGTGCTTATCGGGTTACCCAATAACAACCCGATTCGTTATCGTGTCGACCCAAACACTTGTTAATTTCGTGTCGTGTCATGTCGGGTTATCGGGTCGTGTGAGGAATTGCCAGGCCTAGCTTTGGTGTTACCGTTTGCAGCCGCTTCGGGGGAGAGAGCTTTTTCTGCTATGAAGATTGTGAAAACACCATTGCGTAACAAAATAGGAGATCAATGATTGAGTGATAGCATGGTTGTTTACATTAAGAGAGATGTATTTGCTTTTATTGATAATGAGCCTATTATGCGACGTTTTCATGATATGAAACATTGTCGGCAACAATTGTAATTTGTTTGTATTGATTAATTATGGAAGACATTACTATATAAAAAGATTTAGTTGTTGCCATTTTTCTTTAACCTTGCACTCTTTTAAGTTCGCCCCTCCCCCCGAGAAATCCTGGCTTCGCAACTGCCGACCACACCCTCACGGTTTTGTTTCTGGGAACTCACACGAGAACTTCCCAATAGGTTACCCATCATGGGATTGCTCTCGCGCGAACACACTTAACTTCGGAGTTCCGATGGAACCCAAAACCAGTGAGCTTCCGAAAGGCCTCGTGTTATATAAAGATTGGAATATACATATAAAGCTTACAGGATCCACTCCTCTAGGAGATGTGGGATGTTACATGTCATTTTGGATAATGACACGTGGCGGAACGAGAACGATTAAAAATCTTATCCGAATTTACAAATTAAATTATTTTGTATTATTTTATAAATAAATAAAATACTATTATTTTATTGCCTATTGCCAGGGCTAGGGATGGGTAAAATACCCATGAATTTGGGTAACCGCAGTTATCCGCCCATTTAAAGTTCATGGTTACGGTTATGGGTATAACCGTTTATCCGTGAAATTTAAATGGGCGGTTATGGGTATTACTTGTGGTTATAACGGGTATCCATCAGTTATGGGTATTATCCGCGGTTATAACGGATATCCATTTACCCATTTAATTTAATATATGTAAAATTAAAAAAAAATTAAAAACCTTAAATTTTCAATTTCTCTGCCAGAGTCTGAAACACCCCGTCCCCGCTCATCTCTCCTTCCTCGCCGCCCTCTCTCTCATCTCTGCCGCCCTCTCTCTCATCTACGCCGCTCATCTCTCTCTCTCTCTCTCTCTCTCTCTCTCTCTCTCTCTCGGTTTCTCTTTGGTTTCAGTTTCCATATTTTCTTGCATTTTCTCAGAAACCAAACAAGGCATCAAATTTAAAATTTTCTTTTTAACTCTTATTCGGTGCTGGGTTTTGATTGTTCATTATTTCAAGTTTCATGAATTGGGTTTCTCCAAGAATTGTGATATTTTTATGAATTTTTGTGCTTTAGCAATTGATGAAGCTTGAATTTCTATATAATTGATTACGTGTTAAAGAATAATCATACTCTGTTTTTTTTTTTTTTTTTTTTGTCAATGGAGAAAAAAGGGTCTTGATACGATTTTTAGATGTTCAATTTATGCTGGGCAGCCTTCTAACTTTGTATTTTATAGGATTAAGTAATATGTTTTCTATAGTTTATGAGCTAAAATGTCGAAAAAATGGGTCTTCGTTAATGTTGTATATGCTGTGAAACAAAATGCAGTGTGTGACTGTGATGTTTAGTCGTCTATCGAGCCTTCGAAATCCTCGAATTTTGTAATTTTCAAGTTGTTAAAAAAAACATGTAGACGGGTGAAAAACAGAGTAAATGGATAAAAAAAAAGATAAACGGGTTCAAAAACGGGTAAACGGTTATGGTTAAATGAGTACACGATTATGAGTATGGTTAACCATTTATAAACGGTTATGGATATGAGTATAACCGTTTATGCAATTACCCAACAGGTAAACGGTTATGCGGGTATGAACATAAACGATTATGGGTAAATAACCGCGGTTACCTGATCGCCATAACCATTGCCCATCCTTAGCCAGGGCTATTCAAGTGTAGGAATGGAG